GAGAGAGAGAGAGAGAGAGAGAGAGAGAGAGAGAGAGAGAGAGAGAGAGAGAGAGAGAGAGAGAGAGAGAGAGAGAGAGAGAGAGTCTCAGATGGGCTGGAGAGCCAGGCAAGCAGCGTAACTACTTCGAGGAAGCGGCAGCTGAGGAAAGGAGAGAGAGTTTCTTCTGCTCCTTTCGCAATGCATTGGCCCTAATTAGACTTGCAACGGTGTTGAAGGCCAATTTAGCGTCACTGATGGGATCACCAGGAACGACCGTCTTGTACAGATAGCTATCAAAGGTCATTTTCTGTACATAATCATCAGCGCACATCTCTACAAATGCCTCTCTTGCGGGATTGGATCGGTAGAAGACCTTCTGCAGAATGTCGAGAACCTTGTAGGTCGACCAGTACTTCTTGTCCCACCTGTCCAAGTAGATTCTCAAGTCGGACTCATCGACCATCTTCGCGCCATTCTCCGAAGCTTCGGCTATGGCTTCCGCGCACATGCGCCCCGACTTCGCGGCGAAGTAGATCCCTTCCCCGGAGCACTTGGTCACATAGCCAGCCGCGTCGCCCACCAGTGCCACTCTGCCCTTTGCGCGACGAGGGCGCGGGTGCTCGGGGATTGGATGAGCTTCCACGCGCAGAATCTTGCCGCCGGCGATCTTCGTCTTCGCCCGATCGCGCATGGCCGTCTGGTACTTCTTGATGGCCGGCTTGTTGATGACAGTCCCGGTCCCGACCGCCACGTGGTCGCACTTGGGAAACACCCACCCGTAGAAGTCGGGCGACACGTCATCGCCGACATACATCTCCGCCAAGTTCTGGTAGTAGTCCATCTTGTCATCAGGGATCTTTATCCTCTCTTGGAACGCGATGGCGTAGTCGTACTCGCCAGCGTCTATGTTCTTTGCCACCCTGCTATTGGCCCCGTCGGCACCGATCACCACATCCACCTCCAGCGTCGACGGCTTTCCGCTGACTCCATCGACAGAATAGTCGGTGTAGTCGAGGACGTACGGACTGTCTTTGTCGGAGGGGATTTTCATGCCGAGGAACAGTCCGTTGATGATGGTGGCACCGTAGGATGCAGCTCTGTCTCGCAGATAGGCGTCGAGGACTTCTCGCCTGACCATGCCGATGTACTCGTTGGGCTTCAGCGTTCTCCCAACGTCCACCTCCACATTGGAGGGGGAGATCATCTTCATCTTGGTGACCTTGCGGTCGATGATATCCGCCGGCAGCTGGAACTCGTCGACCATGCAGAGGGGAATTGCTCCTCCGCAGGGCTTCGCATTATCGAGCTTGCGCTCAATCAAGAAGGTCTCTATGCCGGCCTGGGCTAGGGTCTCGGCAGTGCACCCGCCGGCCGGTCCCCCACCAATGACTGCAACGCGGAGCTTTCTCCCCTGGAGACGCTTGCTGCTCGCGGAGGCGTAAATGCGCAGGACGGTGGAAGAGGGGGAAGAGGAAGGCGAGCCGCCATGGCTGCCCAGCGCCATCGCTTCTTCTCGGAAAGCTTTCTCATCGCCAGCGAGAAACGTTGACGACGACGAAGACGAGGAGGAGGAGGAGGAGGAGGAGGAGGGGAGGACGGGGTCGAACGACCTTGCCGACGTGGATAACCGACGGAGCGAGGAGGATGACGTGGCCGTTGGAGCAACAACGACAAACGAGGAGGACGGAGACGTGGTGCGGCAGCAGACTGTCGACGCGCTGGCCGCCGTCAGCCCGGCCTTTGCGCTTTGCAGGGCCGCGCCATGGCTGGCAGCTTGGGTCAGGCAGAGCGAGGAGGCCGACGACATAGCTGCCTGCTTCCGAGCTAACAAGCCGCCAACTTTCTCCTTCTTCCCCTCCCCCTCTCCCTGCTTCTCCCTCCCTCTCCCTCCCTCTCCTTCCCTCTTCCGCTGTGGTCTATCCGCCACCACCTCCGCTGTCCGTCTCCGCCTCTCTGCCCGTCGTGGACGCTCGACGTGCTAGCCGTTGCCGCCGGAGAGTTATGCCCGCACAATGTCCGACCGACGCTGTGCGGCCCCGAACCTCCTCCGTCAGCTGCACTACTCCCTGCCTCACGCCGCCCGCAACAGACGGCAGATTCCAGACGGATTGAAGACTTGGTACCCTGCTAGGGGGCCGGGGGGGGGGGGGGGGTAGGAGAGCTGCAGTGGTTAGGGGGKGGGKGKGGGAGAGCAAAGAATCTTCTCGAGCTGTTGCTCGTTAGCGATCCCGTACTTACCCGCAAACCGGTACTATACAGGTCGTAGTACGGTCAGGTCACACACCAGGACCTTCATGTAGCCCTTGTGCATTGCCCCGACCAGCAATGGGAACCACTCCCCTTGCCTACCCATCATGCTTCGTAGCCTGTTGCTGTGTGTAATCACTGTCACTCTCCAGACCCAATGTGCATGTATATATGTATACAACATAAACAATGTATATGTATACACATATATACATACATGATACATCCGTATATATACTCCGACGAAACAGTTTGTCACAGCCCCTCGTCTGTTGTCCTCTTCTCTCTCTCTGCCTACGGTTTTACCGGGCAGTTCGGTTTGTGACGATATATATATATATCCGTATAGTAACAGAGAGAAAATTAAGAATGCCAAATTCTCTTCTGTTTACCTTCGAAGTTCTGTCACTGCACTAGAATAGTTATGGCCATGCTTTCACTGCGCTGGAAAAGTTATGGGCGTGCTTTCACTGCACTAGAAAAGTTATAGGCATGCTTTCACTGCACTAGAAAAGTTATGGGCTTGCTTTCACTGCACTAGAAACAAGCAATACTAACAAGGTTACAAGTTATGGCCGCACATCCGTCACATCGAACGGCTACTATGGTGTAGTCGTAGTCGATTGCAGGTCCTTTGTTATCCCTGTCCTTTTTTATCGCTTGCAAGTGGAGTGAGCGTACTGAAGCTCATTGTCATACCTTCCTTTCTCTGGGCCTCGTAGCACTACTACTCGCCATCGATCAATATTGCAAATGACTCTGATCAGGGAATCTGTTGGCGGATGGTAAGAACTGCAACTACCCTCTCTCTGTGTCTCACTTAGAACCACGGACTCTATTCAGAAACATAGAAGCGTCCGTAGGCGAGGTGGCACTTGGCCCTATTCGTCATTTCTGGGGTTGGTCCCATTAACAAAGAGGATTGAGTTGAATTCCCGAACCTGGACGTGGTTTGCGAAGAGATGCAGAACAGGAGAGCAATCGCAATTCCCTGCATCTATCCGGAAACACTTCCAGGTTCTCAGGAATGAAATCCAATCGTCTTTCCTGGAGGGACCAGGCCCCTTGGGCCAAGTCCCACTTACGCTGATCCTTGATTTCTGGTCGTTGATCTTCCAAATCTGCGGTCAGAAATAGATCATTCGGGTAAGTGGGACTTGGCCCCTGGTTCTAGATTATGGAGACCAACGGCCAGTTTAGAAATAGAACAGTCCTTCCTTAGAAGTGGGACCTGGGACCTGGGACCTGAGACCCAATGGGACAAAGGTGGAACTTGCGGGGGATCAAGACTCAAGAGAGAGAGTGGGCCCGTAGGTAACCAAGATCGACGGCCAGTATCTCCTTGGCCGTGTAAGTAGAACCAAGATCGACGGCCAGTATCACCACGGGGGCTCGAGGCATGGGCCAAACAAAAGGGGGGACAGGTGCAAAAATAAAAGGGAAGAAAAGAGGACCCCTTATGGATGTCTGAAAAGAAAAGGAACCGAACAACGAACAAAAAAGGAAGACGGAGAAAAGAAATAAAAACTCAGAAATAATGAAACAAATGGGAGGAGGAGGGGGCCGTCACGTCAGACAGCATAGGTGGCTGGTGATCGTGGTTGGCGTCGTGGCGGTCGCCGAAGAAGTACAGCGGAGCTGAAGTTGCGGAGCGGGCCGAATCCCACTGGCTGAATTCTAGATAACAAGATATGGCAAACTTTTTGGGTCTTTTTTTCCCTTTTCTTTTTCTTTTTCTTTTTCTTTTTCTTTTTCTTTTTCTTTCTTTTTCTTTTCCTTTTTCTTTTTCTTTTTCTTTTTCTTACGTTTTGGGCCTTTTCTCTTTCTTTGTTTTTGTGGCTCAAGAAGAAAAATCAGCCGAATAGATATTTTCTTCCACAGAGGAGCTGAAAAAAGGATCTCCTTCGGCAGTAAAGAAGCGCCGTACACATTCAGGACTGTCCTGGACGTATTTGACCACAAGTAAAGCCAGATTCAGTCCGGAAAGTCCTACGGGCTTTTCCTGGTCCAGATGACATAACACCAGTCATGTTCTCCGAACCAGACACGACGGGACCTCTCTCTCTCTCTCTCTCTCTCTCTCTCTCTCTCTCTC